AAAAAAAAAAAAAAAAAAAAAAAAAAAAAAAAAAAAAAATATACCGTCGAATTGAATACCTCCTTCTTTTGGGAAGTCGGTCAAAAATAGGACACCACTAAGCCGCTCCTGCGCTGATTTTCAGCTGGCTCCTTCGCCTCCTTTATTGGATTTCATCTTTTTAAAAACACATGTACATTGTATAGTTTTAGCTTGTTATTTACCTTCTTTTACATTTTAAACTAACTACTGATGAAAGATGTTTTTATCATACACCATACAGATCTCTAAATAAATAACAAATTGCTCGTTCGAATGATGAATTGACGTTCACAATTGCGGGGTGGGCAGCGGATGTAGTAATTAATGAAAGAGGTGTTTGTGAGCAAAGCCGTCCTCTCCGAGCCCCGCGCTGCGTTCAGGGCCACCGACCACCGACCACCAATTACACACCTAGTTATACTTGTTGTACGCTTTAATTGATAATCTTCCCAAGGGTCTATCTTGTAATCGCTTACAATATTTTAAGTTCCCTTTTCTCAGCTAAAAGCTTTGAAACGATATTTTCTCTTTAGCCTCAATGATTTGCTTGATAGCATGAACTTTCGATTAAAACTTTTTAATATACATTTGTTCCTTTTTTATTTACAAATATACCAGTGAATTGCCAGTACGGATTATTCTCATATAAAAAGCGAACAATCCGCTGACCTCGTCTCTTATCTATAGATATATTAAAATTCATAGTCCTGTTGTAAATTATAATAGCTTCAACATGCGGGCCCATTGTGACCGTCTCCGCGAGCCGCGAGCCGCGAGCGGGCGACGCGCAGGCATGCACTAGGGATGACATAATTTTGCGAACATGTGGGACATATATCAAACGTCAACGTGTATTAACTGGATTTTTAATAGCATTTTATACACAATTAAGTAACACATAATATACTACACTACATAAAAAACGCGAAGAATTTTAAGCATATCCTGTAAAAAGAAAGTAAATTTTCCAAATGAGAATTTTTAAAGCATTTAAACATTAGTGAATTATTAGCAATTAACGGCTTTGACTATTTAAATAAGTATGCGACAAAAATTATAATCCCCAACATAACACTAAATGTTCACCCTACAGGAGAGTCCTGAATGTAAAGACTCCGAACGATCGCTTGGCGACCTTCGCCTTTGGCTCGACGTCGGCGCTGCGTCCCCGGAGAATTAAGTGGAAATAAATAATTCATCATATCAACTGCTGCGCCAGCGCCAGCGCCATCTAGCAGGAATTCTGCATCAATTACGTCACTTTTTAAGCTAATTTTAGATCTTAAAGTGTTACCATTATCTTTATATGCAGCAACAACTACTATCAACTTACATGTATCAATTATTTACAATCGTAAGTAACAAATGTGCTGTAATTGCCAGAACTCAGTATCACCCTCGGCACATTAAAGCCTCGGGAGCATATCAAAGAAGCACTTCGTCAAAGTTTGTAGCTAATTACCGGCATCGGAGCGACACGACAATGTGTTTAGAGTGGCATTAAGTCAAATAGATAAACATGACGCTGCAGTGGGAGCGCGGGCCCATTGCTACACGCGGTACGACACGACAAACGCTCACGATACCAATGCTGACATAAATGGTTACGGATGAAATGGCTAATGTTCAAAAGTATAGTAAACATCTTTAACAATACGCAAATTAAAACACATCAGTGTCAAAATCATTCTTTAATTAAGAGTTACCTATTAGGAGTGGCAATGACGTGGAGGTATAACGTGACAATGCGAACAGGTCGTTCGGCACGCACGCTACGGGATCAGCAGACGGGAGTGGCGTCCCGCCGCGGCGCGGGACGTAGCGGGATTACTCTTCATTAAACACGCCGCTGCTACATTTGTCACCACAAATCCGTCCCACAACGTCCCAGGAGCGACGTTCATACAAACTTACAAGATTATCTACTGATTGATATATTACTAATGTATTTAACACAATACTAAGGGCCTATCCCACCACTGGCTGAGATAGCTCAAAAATGGCGTCACTGTCGGATAAGGAAACAAAATCCGATATTTCCAACACATGTTTTACTCGTTGGATTGTTATCCGACAATTTACAATTTGGTGCGAGAGATCCTTTAAGATATGAAATAACTTGTCAAGATATAATAAAGCAATAAACGTTATTTGGGAAAACGTAGATTAGTTTAGAATGTATGCAGTTAACAAACTGGCAGCTATCACGCAAAATGTGTTTACACCTGTTGTTATATTGCGAGTGTATATCGTAAGCCGCAGACCATATATCACTTGTCCACTAGTAAATTATTGCGTTTGCTTATCCTAGTCAAATGGATAATGAAAATTTATCGCGTATCTACATGCACATTGACAATACAAATGTTATTGTTCACTTAAACGCATATAAAAGTCGCAATGCGGCGCGGTATGGCGAGATCCGCGGCGGTGATGCCTCATAAATCACTCAGTAATAAATCTGCTGCGTTGTGGCGTTGCTGGAGCCAGTCCAAGCCTGCCCGGTGCCCACTGCCCGGTGCCCACTGCCCAGTGCCTCGATCTGCCCTCGTTTTCACTTTATCCCGCAGACGAATTTATGGTTCTGATGGACTTTTTTAATTATTTACACAAATCGCTTATGTAGTGAAACATTTTTGCGATTCACTTACATACATCTAATATTATTATTATTGTGTTGAAGTTTGTTATAAATATGATAATATTGCACCGCAGTCACGGTATCAGGGGTCAGGCAACATATAACATCATATGTCGAGGTGTACAGTCAAATATAAGAGAATTTAATTCTCGTTGAACTTTTACACTTAGTCTGGGAAGCTGTATAGTTATACTAAACCAGAAATTATCACGTTGTTAGTAAAACAATAATAGGCAGAAAAAGAATTTAGGTCAGAATATGAGTCGCAGGTTGTGGAGTATTAGAGAATTATGCTATGTGTGAAATTAGTGAACGAAAACAGTACCGTATTTCATCTATGACTGGTATTTAATGACGTGTAACTGGTTGCTGTAACTGTTTCTACATGCTGTACTATGGTTAATAATATTAATTTGGTTTTTTCTTTTTTACAGGTAAGGAGACAAACCGAATTACAAGTTTGAAGTAAAAGTAAGCAGTTCGCAATAGGTAAGGTAATAATCATTTATAAATCTCATTTGTATTTGAATGGTGTAAGGTGTGCGCTTTATTCGCAAGTCGGTCGTTAAGGAATATCGAGAGACGTCGTTTGCGCAAATCACAGGGATTATTTGAGGACTATAGGCTCCTCGCCCCAGGCCCACCTGCGTGTCTTGGCCCCGGGCGGTGCGTATTTGGACAACAGCTGGCGATTATGATCGCCTCATCTCCGCACGCTGCGATTTGTTTAACTGACCTCTAAGATGACTATAGAGTTATAAACTTCATAGACATGTCAATTTCCTGTTTTCATTTAAGCAACATTTTCTCTTTACAACAACTATTTCTCTTTATTTTCGTTACTAAAGTTGAAATAATTTACTCCTTGTTAAAAATAAATCGAAACATTCTCTATTTAATAACAGAAAATCACAAAAACCAAGTTTATTTTATGTAATTAAAACGAGAGGAAATATCTTTTGACGTACAATATTATTGTAAAACCACAATACCATGATTAAATTAAAATAATCAATAAACCTCTGGAATTATAATTTCGATGCTCCTTCTTAAACATTTGTAGCTCTTCACAAGAATGCGTGTAGAGGCTATGTCGCTAAGACGTTGCTTATCTCGGGTCCTCGGGGAGCTCCCCGGGCGCGCTCGGACCCCGGGGCTTAGCGCGCCCGGGACTTAACTGCCGGGACCCGGGACTGATGATTGCGATCATTTGACACGAGCCATACAACCGTTATGGTATTCAAACTAAGATTGGGAGAGCCAGCTGTGATTTAATTACTTCAACTATTGCTTGTGTTCATAGTGAACATATTGTTTTAACTTGCATTGTAATTGATGTGATGTTACGAGAATTAAAGGTTTTTAATTATTATTGTTACTATACTGGTTGTTTTGTTTCGATGAGAGTTTTTAAGTTACATATTTTGTTGGAAGTTTAAATTATAGTAAAAACGTTACAATAATTTGATCCTATTCTTACCGTTGGTCACCGACTTTAAAGTCAATAGACGAAGGTGTAGGGTAGCGAAGACTAGACCGGTAGCGAGATACGGGTAGTGGGGTAGTGGACGACGGCAACATACCCTATAACTCATAGAACGTCGTAATTAAACTCGCAGCCGCGCGCCAACCGGCAACTGCTATGAATCACGCCTTATCGGCAACTTTGCTATTTATTAATGTCGCTCTGTAGGGTGACAAACTATCGTGTGCCAGAACAGGACTCTATTCAATACAAAAGTAAGTACTGTATCTTTACCTGTACGATACGGTTCTATGTAAATCTGTTTCTAAAATGTTATAATTTTCACAAAATATTTTAGTTAGTAAAGAATAATTTTCAACGAGGGTTTCAAAAAGTTAAAACATGCGAGCAAGTCCCATAATTTTTAGTATTTTTGCTGTCTTCCTACTTATTAAAACAAGCTGCAAACGAACGGCAAACATATTTAAGATACTATCATTATTATCAATACATACAATAAATTGCTAAGTACTCAGCGATTTAGTTACAGATGTTCATATTATTTATGCGGCAATTTAAAATATCTTTCTTATTTATATGATAGAGAGATACGCTCAATAGAAACATGTAGCGCGAGATTCCTCACTACGCTGAAGCGGGGCACTGCGTTATAGGAAGTAATTGCGGAGAGAGCAAATACTTTGATGTAAACTTAGAGGTCAAATAAATATGTGGATAAAGTATTCTATAGTTGCTCTGACAACAAACAAAGTGGAATAAAAAATAAGTAAAAATGTGTTTTAACAACTTTTATTATGAATCTTGTAATTTCGATCGTTCCCAGTTTCAAACCAATTATCTTTTCTAGGACTTTATTTATAATAGTAAACTATCATTTTGCAACATAATGCTCTTTTCATAAATTTGTCGGTTTTGAAATCAAGTTCATATTTTGGGTTTATACTATTTTTCTTAACTTTTCAATGTTCTTCATAAAAGCGCCATCTATACGTAACGTTTAAAAAATGTATTAAAAATCGGTGTTAGATTTTTACTTGTCGACACAAGATGGCGCTGTATTTATTTAAAGAAATCAAAGATAAAATAAATGGATTTCGAAACGTAAATTAATCTATTAACGGAATACGATATTATTAACTATTTGTACACCCCTTTCCTCTTCTAGAGTGAAAGAATGCGTAAAACGAATCCAGATATGAAGGGCTTCAGTAGCATCGAAAAACAATATTATTGTAGCATACCAACTTTATGGTCAGATATGAAGGCGGCCGGAAATTAACTGACCGCCTGTCTATGCTTTATGACCCGTGTTCTGGTTTATATCGTTGGGCCCTATGGTCGCCATCTTAATGTGAAACCCGGGCAAAGGATTTGTTGCGGGTGCTTCCTATTGCATCTATATCTTTGGACAATAGATCATATACGTTGGTGTCTTCCGTTAGCGAATATGCATTAAAAGTTTTTCAATCGATTTGTAGTTCTTTACTCATGAAGTCTAGGCCTAATAATAATAATAATAAAGTCATCGGATTCCGCAGCCGGTGGATTTCTATTTTTTTATATAATATGTTTTATTTTGTTATTTTTTTTTTAAGAAAATCATATGAAATGTATTATATATAAAAATAAGAGAATAAAGATATATGATCATAATAATAATAATAATAGCCTTTATTCAACAATCTTACAAAGTTTTACAATAAAAATATAAACAATAATTAGTTAATATTTGACACCAGATTGTGATGCGTTTCCGCAGAGGCCTCCCCTAATGCTTGCCATTCTCTTCTGTTATAGGTCATCCTTTTCCACGTTATACCAATAGTTTTCCTGATTTCGTCCTCCCATCTAAGACGCTGTCTTCCTTTGCTTCTTTTCCTTCCTCTTGGGCACCAGTCTGTCACATCTTTGGCCCATTTTTCTTTTTTGCATCTTATTATATGCCCTGCCCATTTCCATTTTTGTTTGCGTATGTAGTGTATAACTGATTTAATTTTAGTTTGTTGTCGTAATTTTTTAAGTGATCGTTAAAATTAATTATTGTGTGATTAACTCGACATTATGAATATCCATTACCAACTTTTCATCCGCAACAGACAAGGCCGAACGTAACGCGAGAAAATCAGGAATTCTCCTGCGTCCGGATTTAAATTACTTTAATAAAAATAAATGAGGAAATCGTTATGTAAGTGCGATCAATACGGTGAAAAAACGCGTCCTGCCTTGCACAATGAGCTCACCTTCGCCGCAGGACGCGCCCGATGGAGCGTGCAAACTGCACACTGCAAGTCGATGCAAGCAGTGCAGCATTCCGCGACACAGCAGTGCAACTGTGAATACTTCATACTCTCGCAGTGCACGCACTATTTTGTTTTGTTTTTAAAAACAACAAGTGTGCAATGGTATTACAATTGATTTTGAGGTTAGGATATTTTGATGCTTTTATTTGGATGTGTTGGTGTGTGTTTGTGTAGTAAATATTTTGTTATTGGTTTTCGGTTAATGTTTGTGCTCAAAATTCTCGGATGTCTGATCTCTGGAGGGAACTGTGTGTGGTCACAGGGATATAAAGTTACCTTCTTGAAAGTAAATTTCAGCGATAGCTTCATAATGTAATGGTTGGGTCATCGATTGACCAAGTTTAATTTGTAAAGGCTAGGGTTGATGGCGCTGGCGTGTGGGGCGCGCAGCGCGGCGGCCGGCCTGCTCAGCAAGGCCACGCGCTCGAAGGCCGACGACAACAGTTTGAGGAACAGCGTGTTCGACTTCATCATCGTTGGCGGCGGCACGGCCGGCTGCGTGCTCGCCAACAGGCTCTCCGCAGTGCCCGACTGGAAGGTTAAAATAACTATACTTTAAGAAACGACGTGATAACGAGAACTTCTCGTTTACTTTAGATTTTCTGGATTAAAAAAGAAAACTTCCACAAATCATTTGAAAACATTTATTTTGCAAACGCTTTCGCAAAGGTTTTACTGCTGGAAGCGGGAGACGATGAGAACATAGACTACGATATCCCCGGCGTGCCGACGCGGGACTACCGGCCCATCGTGTGGAACTACCGCACGGAGCGGAATGGGTACTCGTGTCTGTCGCGGCCTGGAGGCGCCTGCGAGGTGCGCACGGGCAAGGTGCTAGGCGGCTCTAGCGTTACCAACGACATGAAGTACACGCGTGGCCATCGGCGCGACTATGACGCCTGGCACAACCCCGGACACATCGCCTCCCTCGACTGGCAGTTCGACAATTTGCTCGAGCACTTTAAATCTTTCGAAGACAACGGTACGATTCAGAGATACTTACACGACTCTTATAGTATAGAAATTACATTAATCAATTCAATAGCTACTTACAATGTAAAACACAACGTTTCAACATTTGATTGCACTGAAACAAGTCGGTAAAGCTAAAATACATTCTCTTAACCTAACATAAAAACTTAACAAACCTTTCTTAATTATGTCGCTCGCGACTCAGTTCCAGGAGAAATAACTAAACTTGTTTTATTTAAGGCGACTACGACGTATTAATGAATTCTTTGTACCATTCCCGCGGCGGCGACTTGCGCGTGCAAAGGTTCAAGCACGCCGATCGGTTCGTGGAAGCGTTCTCCAATGCTTTTGCCGAAATGGGTCTGCGCACGATGGACATAAACACGAACGTAGCAGAGGCCACTGTGGTCAACCAGTTTACGATATACAACCACACGAGGTTGAGCACTAACGGCGCTTTTCTGAAGCCAGTGCGTCATCGCAAGAACTTGGTCGTGATGACCGGAGTGACCGTCACTAGAATTGTTATAAACAAACAAGAAAAGTCCATCGATGGCATCGTATACGAAAGTGAGAAGGGCAAAGAACATCCTGCTTACGCCAAGCGCGAAATAATATTAACAGGGGGCGCTGTCAATAATGTACGACTCTTGCATTTGTCTGGTATCGGTCCCAAGGCCGAATTAAAGAAACACAACATAACAGTAATTCACGAACTCCCCGTGGGAACATTCTATCAAGACCAGGTCACCACCGGAGGCCTCGCTTTCGCCATTAATGACGTCGCCCCGGTAGATGAAAATACTATTATTAATGATTTTAAAACATGGTTCCACTCTCGCAGCGGGCCGTTGGCGTCGCGAGGAATAAATCAGTTGTCGGCGTTCTTGCAACTATATGAGAACAATAATAATGCACCCGACGTCGAAATATCCTTTGAAGGTAATTACGTAAGAAGTGACAAATTCTTGCTCACAAATATCAGTGTTCATTCAGTGGAAGAATTCTCCATGCCGTTACCTTATTATAACCTAATATCTGTTTACCCCGTTTTACTAAAACCTAAAAGTAATGGTAAAGTAATGTTGAATAAAAGAAATCCAAAATACGGACGACCAATCATTCAAGCTAACTTTTTAAAGGAATCCGAAGATTTAGACACACTGGTCGACAGTATCGACATCGCGCTGCAACTACTCGATACGAGGGAGTTAAAGAAAGCTGACATTAAATTTGCTCCTATAGATTTGTTCCCGTGCGATAAACTACGGAACAGAGATCAATGGAATTGTATAGCTAGACATTATACTAAGGCTATGAGTAATCCTATCGGCACGTGCCGTATGGGAGACAACAGTACAAATTCAGTCGTAGATTATTATCTAAAGGTGCATGGTATTGAAGGCTTACGAATTATCGACGCGTCCGTGATGCCGACGCATGTCCGCGGCGGCATCTACATACCGACAATCATGATTGCAGAGAAAGGTGCTAAATTAATAAAAAGTGATTGGAAAGACAACAAAAGTAGATATAATAGCAGAAGGTGACATCGAGATATATCTTTAAGTTAGTAAATAAAAGTAATATTTAATACCAAGTAGTTTTTATTAAATCACTCGCCTTTTCAGCTATCATTATAATAGGTGCCGCCGTGGACCCTCGAGTTATCTTCGGTATAACGGATCCATCGACTATTCTCAAATTCGCTATCCCGTAAACTTTTAGATTATTATCGACTACCGACTCGGGGTCCTTGGAGGAGCCCATTTTGCAAGTCCCGACATAATTATGCAATGGACTTGAAAAGTGTCTTATTATGCAAGCCCAAAAATCCTCAGACACTTTTTCATAATTTTTGCATTCATTGTTTAATATCGGAAGAGGATCGAACTCGAAGGAGGCGGTCTTGAATACTTCTGTATCGAATAGTTTAACTATTTCATGTATTCCTTCTAACAATTTTTTCTCATCCGATTGCTCTTTTAGGAAATTCGGATAGATTAAGGGTTTACCAAAAACGGGATCCGTCGCGTTGAGAACTACTTGTCCTCGGCTTTTCGGTGTCAGAAGGGAAACACAAATATCTATTCTATCGTAGTACATGTTAGAGTCGTGTCCACGAAATCTAACTTCAATGTCGGGCGTGCCAATTATATCGGATAGGGAGGTTTCCAAAAATGCTACCACCTGGAAATTAGCCGATAGGGGTCCCGAGCCTTTCGCGTAATATGACGATATATCTTTAAGCTTTTCCGAAAATCTAGATGTGGTGGCCGTTTTAGTGAGCTTGATGACCGGCAAACACACGGATAGATGGTCATGGAAGTTTCCTCCGACCGGCAAGTCGTTGTACACTTTAATATTTAAATATTCCAAATAGTCTTTAGGGCCGATGCCGGACTGCATCAAAAGTTTCGCCGTGTTAATCGTACCGGCACACAAGATGACTTCCTTTTTCGCTTTAACTCTCGTCTTTGTACCATTCTTAATGTAATCTACACCTATAGCTCGAACAGCTCCTCGGGTGTCCTTAAATAAAACACTGGTGACGAGCGCCTCCGTCTCGATGTCGATGTTCGAGCGCAGCTTGCGGATGGGGTCTATGAAGGCAGTATACGAGCTCACTCTCTCGCCAAAGTACGACATGGTCTGTATCCGCATGAATCCCAGCTGGTTCCGGCCGTTAATGTCTGTGTAGTTAAAGCCGAGCTCATTGAAGGCGCTTAAGAGGACATCGACGTTATCGTCCACATACGGATATCTGCCAACGTCCAGAGGGCCTTGAGTGGAATGAAAAAACCTATTTTTGGCAATATCTTTGTCATAGTTGCCCTCTGAATATTTAAAGTAGGGCAGCAACTGGCTGAAGCTCCAGCCCTCGTTGCCGCTAAGCATCCACTCGTCGTAGTCAGCGGGGCTACCGCGCATGTAAGCCATGTCGTTAATGGCGGAGGTGCCGCCCAACACGCGGCCCTGCACCACCTCACACCCCATCTCGTGACGGTTCTGGCAAAATCTGAAATGAGAATTTTCATTCATAAAAACATTTCTCTGTAATGGTTTTTAATTCCTTGATTATTTAATAGATAGATTCAAAACTGCGCGATAACGAAGATTATCGATAATAATAATACATCTGGCGACCAGTTACCATGTCAATAAAAAATAATTGCCCGACCGATACGTCGGGAGTACAATGTTATTCGCGCGAATGTATGTTTATCCATTCCATTGTCACCTGTTGCACACGGCTTACTGATTATAAACAGACTATCATTTGATTTATGTCTAATAAGGAACTATTGCTTGCTACTTCAGAAGTCCAATAAGAATATATTTCTCAGTAAAACATAATAATTTAAACAGTTTACCCTTTTTTCGGTCTCATTGCATATTGCCAGTCCACCGATGACCCTTTGAATTCACTGGTCAGCCCCGGAATTAGCGCCATTTTGGGTTCCTCCGGCCCGGCCTCCACTACCAGAACCTTCAAAATTATAAGAATTTCATGAGAATCATTTCAAGAAATGGAAAATTTATTAATTATAAAAATTGTTTTTTTCTGCTTTCCCTCAGCATTTTATTTATATTAATAGAAGTGCATTAGTATATACATAAATTATGTGAAAAAAAGAGAATTGGAAAACATGTATCAAAACCTCATATACAATAGACCGTAACATTGATGAAGCTTAAAAAATATCGTTACTTTTGAGATCGTTGGACATCAAACAGTACTTACTCTCCATTTCCTGTTCTCGGAGAGGCGGCTGGCGACTACGCAGCCTGCCGTGCCGCCGCCCACCACTACGAAGTCGTACTCCAGTTCGCGCTCGGTCACCACCACGTCGGGGCCTTCCTCGTAGTTCTTGCTGCTCTCCTCGAGGAATTTGTGCTTAGCGAAAGCTCTGTACTTGTCGTCGGTGGCGGAAGGCGCGGGTGGGAGCGGGGGTGCGGGGCGACCGGGGGGCGCGGCGTGCGGGGGGTTGCTCCTGCCGAAGTAGTCGGGTTCGGGTCCGATGTAGCCGTACAGGGTGTGCACTAGCGAGATCAGCAGGATCGCCGTCGGCGCGCATTCTATCCTGCCGTCACATATCTTGCACAGGTCATCGGTTATATTACCGACTGAGCTCATGGCATTTTTTAATATCTGCTCCGATCTTTCGATATAAAACTATTTTCATTGATCACACTTCGAAGACTTCATCTTAGTTGCGTGCGGTCCATTTCAACGTGTTCCTCGAACTCCGTAGCACTGAGCTGGATCTGAGTTGTACTTTGTCTGCGCCGAGGCAAGGCGATGGCGAGGCGATGGCGAATGGTGGCGAAGCAATGGCGTGTGACAAGGAGCGGTGGTGAGATGGTGGCGAGGCGCGCGCGCGGTGCCGACTGGCGGGGCTCAGCCGCGCGCTCGGCGCCCGCTCTCATGTTATCGTACACACATCCAAGAAAACAAAGTGTACACGTTTGTTGTTATTGTTTATTCTACTGTTCATTGTCTCAGATTCCAGAGGTTACCTGTCATGTCGCCTCCAATAGACGTTTGATTAGATGTACTCTTTGTATGTGCTCCGAATGCCTAGCAATGATTTGGGAGTTAATGTAAACAATGACCGATACGCCATTCCATCCATTGTTTTTTCACATTTATAAGCGTTCAGACTATTATTATTCTTTAACGGCCTTTATTGGATTCCATTCATAGCGAATTCTAAAAAATTTCTCCGAAGGGCATTGCTTGAGGTCGTACCTAACAATTGCAGTTAGATCTCAATACAAATTCTACTTTAAGTATCCTGAGAAAGGTTAAGATAGTTCATTGGAAATATAATATATCATAGAAATAATTAACATTTGGCAAATGGGACGTTAATCTCTATCTAACAAAGTAATGACGTAAACAGAATTGTCGCACGAGCGCAGTAACGCGAGTCCTACGAGATCTGAAGCACTTCGGAACTCGGAACCCACAATGTTCCGCGAAACTGTAAGCCGTAATGTCATAGTTCGTGGAACCGCAATTGTTCACGGAAATTTCTGCTTTTCTTTTTCATTTATAAAAATCTCTGAAGAGTTTAGAATCGCATTTGATAAGAACCTCAAAGGTATATCCATGCATTGCTTGCTTTGAGTTTCAAATTATATTTATTACTAGATAAATGGTAACATCACAAAACTAGTTTTGTCTAAATTGTTACCAAATTGGAGGTTATTGCGGTGAGGTGTCCGACACAATACTTCTAATAAAGCAATTGCGTTTTTATAAACAATAGTAAATATCCGTGAGATAATAATAGAAGTGGACCATTATGTTCATTTCCGTGCGCGATTGAAATAATTTTAAAATGACTTAAGTAAAGTTGATTGTGTTAGTATGCTATATCAGCATGAATACCTACGAGTACATCATGTAATTTTGCCTTTTCTTGGTGCAACTCGTGTTTTTTAGTATATGCGCGTCGCCAGCCAACGATCTGGTTTAGGGTCCTCTGCATCCCATCCCATCCCATAGGGCTGCTTCCATAGAAATTCGTGGCAGTTTTCAAATCAATTTTACATTTTTAGAGTCTCTTGAGGGGGCGGGTTCTTTCCCCATTTGAATCCCTGGCAACGTCATGTTTCGATGTAATCATTTTTATGAGTAGCCGAACTCAGCAGTGCTTTAGAACTAAAAAAGCAGCTTCGAGAAACGTATCCCAAATAATTTATGGTCGATTTATTACGCTTACTATAAAATAACCTTCTGTTAACCATTTTTTTAATTATGAAAATTAATATTTTGGTGTAAATTTAAAACTTTAAAGGAAAAACATAACTTAAATAAATTTAAAAACTTTAAATGCTTAACTTGTAAAAAATGTACATTTTGAATATTGTCATTTTTCTATGGAATTGACGATATGTAATTTAAAACGAAAATGCCATGACAATGCAATCATTCTTAACGTAGTGTACGCTTGGACTTGGACTTGTGGTGGTTGAGGATCTATTAAAATTAACGACTTTTGTACATTTAACGTAATATTCGTAAGTGTTACAGCATTTAATATTCCCCCATTACAAACGTCCGTTCGCTCATTTACTGTTCCAAAAGCAATAAAACAATTTCAGATAATATCCCCATTATTCGAATGGAGAATTAGCCGCAGGCAGCCGGCAGCCAGCAGCGCCCCCGCCCCCTTCCCCGCCGCCGCTGCGTGCGAACTCCGCACATTAAATGAGCAATACGTTTTAACAACATTTAATTATCATAGCCCACCGATTCTAGACAATGAAAACGACCGATTCGGAATTACCGAAAATCCCTCCGGGGCAAATGATAGGGATTATTAACGAAAATATGGAAAACAATACCATAACTTTTAATTTCAATGAGGCAGACTGGTATTTGTTAAAGCGCCACCTGTGATCGGAAAGCTAAACTACATATGTGATAGTTTTCCGATTGGGCAACGAGATGGCGCTGTGTCGTAAAAAGTTATGAGCAAACTTTATGTTAATGAAATAGTCTGTATATTGTTTTAAATTCTGAAATTGTATATTTCAAGCTTGTTGGCGATAAATGAAAAAATGTTTTAAGTATTTTATGTGAATGTGTTATGGTTATTTTTAAGTGTGATTAAACATTATTGATGAACTTTACTAACATCACATGAAACCATTTTCCATGATTAAATAACATTTCTTTGCAATATCTTCATTCTTAGTGATTATGTCTAGTTTGAGTGTATAATTACCGTGTACTTGATTAGGTAAGAGATAGACTTGTCAACCAGCGGTTCACCACATCGGGCAATAGTCCACTTTCTATGCAAGATTCCTGCTAAATCTGCAACCGCGCCTACGATTTTAGTGCGAAGTTATTGAATTTGTAATTTAGAATATATTTGTGAAATTAGTTTTGAAATGTAACTTACATATGTTTGATAATTGTTTTACTTGTTTTGTGTTTTATTTTGTTATTTCTTGTACTTCAATAACACCAAAGGTTCTAATTATAGATAAGCAAACAAAATTTTAATATAAAATTAGCTACATTGTTTCAAAAAATTATTGATCAAATTGATTAATTTACAAAAAGCCATCAGTATTTACTACATATTGTAAAGCCAGCCTCACTCATAACAATATTTATTTCTACGATAATGTTATTTCGTCTTGCGGCCGCAGCGTGGCGCTGGCGCTCGGGCGACACCCGCTGCGCTCATAATTAAGGAAATAAAGTATACTGCGGCCAGGGCTGCCACTGATCTATATGATATCTGATCTTCAAAAATTATAATGTTTAGGTGTTAAGTAAATCGTTTTTAAATTTAACACAAACGTTTGCCCAAGGTTTTTATTCTTTGCTGGTATTATAAAGTTTATAAAACATGTAAATACTTTATCATTTGTTTGTATAAAGCATCGACAGCCCTGCGCTGCGTAGCTATTAAGTCACGCGTGCCGGACAAGTCTAGAATTGTCCACGACTAGGTACGGAGCGGCCGAGCCCGCGGGGGTCCACGGGCGGCTTGAAAAACTCAAAGAATTGTCGCGAGACTGATTTGTTTGTACAAAAACGAGCCCCGGCCGCTGCGCTGTGCTGCAACCACGCAGAGATATTCGAATATTGTCGTTATGCGCTTAATGGTAATTTACGACTCAAGTTTTTTTTTTACTTTAATAGCGTCGTAAGCTTTTTTTTTTTTAAATTTATCGGTATAAATACGTCGTAAGGTCCGGTTTACATGATAGGAACCATTCAAGAGATATTTAAAGTGATTTGATATACATTAATAGTTACAAAAAGCAATGTTACAATTTTTTTTATAGTGTAACTCAATTTGTTTGAAGACGACCATGGAATTCATGGTTTTTAAAAATAAGCGCCATCTATTAACGAATGTCATGTTAAAATGTTACACAGTTTTTGTTGTTAACGTCCAAAAACAAGTTTTAGTTATGCTATCCTGCAGTCATCTACCGGTTATCATTGCCCAAACCCACGGTCGTCACCGGCGGCGCCGGCGGCCGCGGCGGCCCCGGCTGTATAAATCAACATCAACATAGAGAGTAGGTAATTGCTCTTAATTCTAGGGTCGCGCTGTCCCGCGGCGTGCGTGTTACTAAACCGGAGCTCGCCAGGTAGGAGCGGCCTCTGAGCTGGAATTCCGTCTTCCAAACAACCAGTCATTGTTTGTGTCCAATGTGAGAACCCAAATGATATTTTTAAGACATTTAAGCTACGTTTTGTAATCATAAACATGGACATTTCGTCATTTATCTTCCAGTAATCAAAGCACGTATGAACGTAGCGGCACATGGAGGGTCATCTGGATCAAATATTAAAGGTAAATTGAATTCCTCTGATACAAGCGGCCAATAAGCCACGGCCACGTGTGAACACTGAGTATTATGTATACTCGCTTCTTTGTCATTGTGCACCGGTACTCTACTAGTTTAATGATATTATAATGTACTATTAAAATTCTGTATCACGACAGCCAGAGCCGGGCTAAACGGCACACATCAGAATAATCTCCGATTTTCCGGTACGGTTCCATTAAATATTCTACAACGTGTGACTGTACTCGCAAATCAAATCGACTGTGACAAATATCTCATAAACACATGTAGATAATTTGACGGACTCTTATAAGATCTTATCCTATAAACCATCGTCTTAATATTGATTATGTTGTATTTATTAAAAACAAAAGATTCGTGTGCGTTGCGTGGTGTAAAACACGCAGGCGCGCACTGATAACATCGCTGCGGAATCGAACCTGCGACCGTCTAATTAGCCTCCCTGCTCATTGCCCACTGCATAATGCCCGGTGTCGTGCGATCTTAATTTGGTTATCTAAACCGCGAGTATTTGCTGCGTGTGTTAATTGCACTTTAGTTAGAAAGGCAAGGGATCGTGAGATGTGTTGGTTGGATAGTGAAGTTTTGATAAGGGATGCATTAAAAAAAATACGGTTTCGTGATAAAACGAGTTTCATACTTTGATAACGGGAGCTCTATCTTGGAAAGGTGACGAAAAACGTTAATTAAAACACCGCTAAAGGTACACGCAAATAACGACTTCGACTTCAAAACAGATTAACACGTGAGAATCTGTCGAATAGTTGCTGGAACTTTCAAACGGCTAGTAAATTGCACATATCTGTGCAATTTATTGACCATTTGGTGAGATGGAAGAAAATTCTATAAGTCGTAAGAATACTATCACAAGATTATGCTCTCTGAGGGAATGGTAGACAAGAAAACTGACAAAAATTTTATTGGCTATGACATCTCATACTAAAGATCACCATGAATTAATTACTGAATGAAATGTGCAATTATTTACAAATGTCATATATCTTTTAATAACAAGGAGCTTCAAGTATTTATGAGATGTTATGCTCCCCTGTAGAGCAATGCAGCACCAGTCCCGTCAGATGACACTTGGGTTATGGAGTGTTGTGTGGAAAGTGCTATTGAATTGCTAATTCCAGGCGCTACATCACGCGGCAACACGCGCCTTTTACTGCGACAAAAATTAACTGTTTTATTATGCTTAAAGATTCGTACAAGTTATAAGATGTAGCGGGAATTACTTAACTTACGTGTTAATGTTAAAAAAACCTAGCATTTAAATGACAAAGCT